TTATAAATGAATCTTTTTAAATATTATAATTAATTATTTAAGAAAAAAACTATAAACTCATAAAATTATCATTAAAATGTACGACCTTAACAAAACAATGTAACATTTTTTAACAAGAGGTGCCTAATTCAAATTATAAATGGTAGATCATTAATGAATTAAGAATCAAGCTTAAAGTGAACATAATCAATTACAAAGAAATAATAAGATTATATTATATAACTACTTATTTCTCTAAAGTAATTGATTATATCACAAATATAATGTATTATTGTTCCTTCCATAACCAATTATATTATGTCTCAATTTGCAATTCAAAAAAATTAAATTTCCTAAGCCAAACCATGTGTAATATTGGTCTGTTTTCTTGAATTCCTTTTTTAGGAAAGTGGTCAACCAAATAAGCTCGTTGGAATATCATAGTGTTATACGTACATTATTAAATAATTCATCAAATTACTGAAGTTTTTTTTTTCCCCTTTTTTGACATGATAACAAGTGCCTACAATTATTGCCATCCTTAAATTTATTAGAGTCAAATAAATTATTAAAATTTTATTTTAATTGATTGTAAAAAATAATTAATAACTTATAAAATAATTAATATTTATTATTTAACATATTAAAATTAGTTTATAAATATATATTTTTAACTATCATAATCAATTATTTAAAAGAAAAACTATAAACTAATAAAATTACCATTAAAACATATGACCTTAACAAAATAATGTGCCATTTAACAAGTGGTGTCTAATTCAAATTATAAATGGTAGGTCATTAATGAATTAAGGATCAAGCTTAAAGTTTTATTTTGTTATCCCTTTTATAAACATGTAAATAGATGCACTATCAGCTTTCAAATAATAAACTTCCTGTAGATTGAACTTGGGTTTTTATTCTTCTTAATTATAAGCTAGAGATATTAGAAGAATTTGTAATTAAGTTCAACGGAAACGAGGAAGTCCCAACTCTTATAGAGTGTTGGTTAATGGAAATTTTCTTCTCCCTTTGCATGTATGAGATATGGATCGAGAAAAAAAAATGTAAGATATTTTATGTAATGAAAAAGCTTTTTATTAATACCAACATATTGTTATAAATCAATTTATTGTGTATATTATACCTTTTTCACCTTTGACCTCTTTATTTACTCATGCATTTACATGTTTAACATAATAGTGAATAACATTCCCATTTTTTCATGTATCTAATGGTGATTAACACACCACTTTTCTAATGCAATTAGAATAATGATAATTGTTTAACTTGTAATCTTTCTATTCATAAGTTATTAATCCTTATATCCTTTTGTTTTGTGGATGTAAAATTCTTGTAATTTTTACCACTTAGTGACCCTTATATAGAGAGTTTCTACTCTTACAAATGTATAATATATAAGAAAAATAATAGAAATATCATTTATCTTTACATTGTCTCACTACATCTCTCTAATTCTTTTTTCCTCTTTTAATAGTTTCTTTCTTTTTTTCTTTTTTTTTTTTGGTGGAAATCTTTCTTTATTTTATAACATATATGTTAATTATTACTTATTCATTTGTCGTCTGAGAAACTCTTTGATTTATTATTAGTCTTAGTTTTTAAAATCTTGTTGGGAGCAGACACATCCTTTGGATAAAGTGTTATCATTAATATTATAACCGCCTAAAAAAAAAAAAAAAGGCTTTACCCTGTAATTCAAGAGTTTTGAGTCTCGAACTAAGTTTTCAAACAAATTACTCCTCTTTAAGCTTGGGAGGCCCTTTTTTTTTTTAATGTAATATTCCATCCTCTCACAATAATTATTCTCTCTGCTTATTTTTAGTAATGTTATTTTGACTTTTTAAATATAAATTTTAAATAAAAATTTAATATATTATATAAATAATAATTAATTTTTTATCAAATTAAAATATTTAGCAAGAATTTAATATATGAAGCAAAAACTTTTCAATTATTATTTATATAAAATTTTAAATTTTCATTTGAAATTCATATTTAAAAAGTTAAGCTAAATCTAAAAAAAATGAAAAAAAAAAGGGAATATCAATTTTTTTATTTAAATTTGTTCCAAATTATTTTTTTTTAATTTGTTAAAGTAGACAAATATTATTTTCCTATTTTAACCCTATTTTTATTTATTTATTTATTTTTATGAATTATCATATTACAAAAAGTTTTTTTTTTTATCTTTTATTTCTTTTTTAAGGATAATATAAATAAATATATAATCTATCCTTAAATATTTAATTTGAAGAAAAAGTAAAAAATGATAACTATTTTGAGATAGATAGAGTAAAATAAGATGTAATAATTATTTCATCCACATTTAAATTTAGTAGTTCTAGTTTTTTACTTTTTTACTTTTTTAATATGAATTTTAGATAAAAATTTAATATTAATTATAAATGATAATTCAAAATTTTTTTAATCAAATAAAAATACTTTACAAGAATTTCATGTTAAAAACAAAAAAATTTTTTAATTGTTTTTATATAAATTGTTAAATTTTTATTTGAAATTTATATTTAAAAAGTTAAAAAAATTAAATTTGAATTACTAAAAATAAACAAAAGCAGTAATTGGTCAAAAATTTATGTTTATCCATAATTATTCACTATTTAAATAAACCTTCATAGTATTTATATATTGTAATTATCTTCTTAAAAATATAACATATAAAATAAAAATAAACATAGCAAATGATATGTCACGCCCCAGAACCCAAATCCGGGGTTGTGGCAGACGCCGTGCACTCGTGAGCGGGGTCCACAAATGCACAAGGCTCGAGACCTACTGAGTTCTTACTTAGCAATTCAGATTTAAGCCTTTTAATCTACCAAATAGTTACCAGTCGAATGTACAAAATTATCACTTCATATATATACAATCATGACTAGCACTAAATTCTGTACACAAAAATTTCTATGTCAAGCATGGGTGACTAACGGCTTAGCTACAAAAACCTAAGTCCAAAAGTGCCTAGCCGTCTAGCTCGTCACTCCCCCGGGCTTCCCACGCGTCGGGTCTCATTACCTGAAATGGTGGACAAGCAAAAACTATGAGATAAAATATCTCAGTAAGTAAAACATGGAGTGCCCTCATTAACTTATAGCATGCCAACAAGTGTAATCACAAAAATGGGTACAGTACGGGAACGAAATAGACGTCTCCTCTATAGGTCATGGCCAGTGTATTAAACTTCCCACTGGTAGGCTACACTTGAACGAACCGGTTCTATCACTAACATGTCAACATGTGCTAGCGTTTAACCCCCACTAGCAGGATTACAATCAATAACATAACCATATCGGAGACAAAACAGGCAGAAGTTCACAGAAAATCATTCTTTACCAATCACTTTCAAATCATCAGGACAATCAATCAAATCTCAAGTAGGCATGCTCAATTTAATGAAAAGCATAAAAATTTCATTTCAAATCAATCATACTTACTTTGTATAAAACGGGTTTAATCCCGCCACCACTTCAAAAACAAATCAAAACATGCTTTTAAAATCGAAGGGCGTTACCATAATTTACTTACCTTAATCACACAGGACAGAAGGCCTAATTCAAGTGCTAAGGCCACAGGACAATCAAGGACCTAATCACAATATTCCCAAATTAATATCTATGTATATACAATTATACAATTACACATATACAATCTTCAAACTCATGGACCGGAATTGGGAGAACCAGCCTTGACAAAAGGCCAATTCACAGAATTTTCTTCCTTTCCTCTCGGACACACACACAACAGCCAAATTAAGGATTTTCTACTTAAATCATCAACCAATCCATTTTTCAAATTGCCAAACTTCATCCCCCACCTCCGGCATCTTGTTTTTTTTTTTTAACAACCCAAACACCCACACAACCAATTAACTCACAAACAGCCATTAATCCACTAATTTTTGGAGATTAGAGAAGCCAACTTACCAGAAATGCTCAGCAAGCAAGGCTGGAGCTGGCGGTATGGGGGAGAGCCGACGGGAAAAATTGGGGGACTTCCACGGGGCCACTACTAGCAATTGACAGAACAAAAATTAGGATGAACCCACATAAATTAAGGCTGAAAAGAAGAGTTTCTGGGCTGGTTTTACCAGGAAAAACCGGAGCTTATACTCAGCAACAGCCGGTAGCAGGGAAGGGAGAAGCAAAGTAGATCCGGTGGCTTTTCTGCAAGAGAGAGAAGTTCTAAGTTCTAGACTCGTTCTTGGGTAAGAGGAGAACAAAAATCATCAAGTTCTCTTACCAATTTTGGAGGTGGAGGCTTCAGTTATGGCTGGTGATG